TATGCTAAAGAACTAGCGTCTGAAAAACCATTAAGTCCCAAAGATGTTTTGCAAGCCAAAGTTTTTGCATTAACAACTTACCCTGTAGGGGAGATCGGGGTTGGTTGTGACAGGGGTAAGTTGTCACAGAGGCGAATTCTGTCATAGTAGCAATGGCAACAGCGTACGGTCAGTGGTTGAATAAACAGCGTCTCGCTCTCTTCACTTCAGTATAGTTTTGCTTACCGTGGCTGCACGTCACCGTCTGCTGTGTGTAATAGTGTGTTTCTAGCGGTGTAAAGTAAATATTGTAGCCTTCAATCAAAGATTTATACACGAGGTGCCTATTTGTTACTATTCCTATGCGAAAATAATCATCAAGGTATGTGCATTCTTTTGTTCTTGCGTATTTTATTAATTTTAATGTTCTCGTGGCAACAAACAGAAAAAATACAAACATGTCGTCTGGGGGTTGGTTGTGACATTCGACATGGGGTAATTTGTGACTGTCACAACTTGCCCCGTATCAAACTGCCGCCGATTAAAATATTTTATTGTTAACTAAAAACATATAGGTACCTACTTACTTTTATAAAAATAATATTTAATAATATGTTTATTGTGAAATTCTTATTTCTCCTTGAGTTTGAAAAATAATGCCTAAATGTTTTTAACTAGGTTTTTTAATGTTATTTTCACTAACTGTTCATATTGTTTTTTTATAGAAAAATAATAATGAGAACGTATAAACGCAAAACGGAAAGGGGAAAAACGCCCTTAGAAGTTTTTGAACGGGCATCTGTTGAGGTGTTAATTAACAATAGATCTCTTCGTTTAGTGGCTGCTGAGTTTCAAATAAACCGGATGACGCTACAAAGATTTTGCAAACGAAAAATGAACATTGAAGGTAAGCTTATTTTATTTAGTTGAATGTGAACCTTGTCTAAAGCCATATTTTGTTCAGATAACCATGCACCTGTTCAAGTAGGATACAAACGAAATAGGCAGGTTCTTCCAACAATCTAAGTTGTATTTTGGGCTATCGACGAAAGAAGTACGGCGATTAGCATATGAGTTCTCAGTTAAAAACAAAATAGAGGTTCGTCAAAATTGGATTCAAAACCAAATGGCTTCTTCGGATTGGCTCACTGCATTTCTGAAACGTCATACAGCTTTGTCTCTGAGGACTCCTGAGGCAACAAGTCTTAGCAGAGCCACAAGTTTTAACAAAAACAATGTTAATGCTTTTTTCTCGCTACTTGAAGAAGTTTTGGATCGTTATAAATTTGAAGCCCAAGACATTTATAACGTTGATGAGATGGGCATAACTACCGTCCAGAAACCCGATCGAATAATAGCTAGAAAGGGTGTGAAACAAGTTGGTTGTGTCACATCTGCGGAGAGAGGTACATTAGTAACTTTTTGTTTCGCCATCAGCGCTAGCGGAAATTCAGTTCCCCCCATATTTATTTTCCCTCGGAAGAATTACAAAGAACATTTTGTGAACAATGGCCCACCAGGTTGTATTGGAGCTGCAAATCCATCGGGGTGGATGACCGAAAATTAATTTTATATATTTCTGAAGCATTTTGCCAAGCATACACGTTCATCAAAAGAGAAACCAGTCTTACTGATTCTCGATAATCACGAGTCGCATCTGTCGTTAAACGGTATAAGTTTTTGCAAAGAAAATGGTGTGGTCGTGATTACTTTGCCCCCTCACTGCTCGCACAAAATGCAGCCGTTAGATCGGTCTGTGTATGGCCCGCTGAAAAAATACATCAACAGCACCATTGATTCTTGGATGAGAAATCATGCAGGAAAAACAATGACTATATATGATATCCCAAATATTGCAAGAGAAGCGTTACCTCTAGCTGCAACTCCCACCAATATTCAAGCGGGTTTCAGGGTTAGTGGAATTTTTCCTTTTAATAAACATATATTTGGTGAAGATGAGTTTTTGCCAGCAGTTGTTACAGATAGGCCAAATCCAGAAAATATGACAGAGCCAGTTATAACCGAATCAAAAACCATCCCAGACCAAGATGGAATACCTGAAGCTGAAGCTCAAGAGATTGTCCTAAATGATAAAGAAAATGAACCCAAACAAGCTGATGGAGCTGAAGCTGATAGAACTCAAAGAACATTACCTCCCTCTGATAAACATAAGCAATCAACTCCCAGATAATCACCTATAATTATGAATTCACCTCCAAAACTGAGTACTTTAGATCAGATTCTGTCGGATAAAACGAATTTACCTGGACCATCAAATGTTATAAAAAAAAAAATTTTTTACCACAAGATTTACGTTCTGATCCAAAAGCAGAGAAACGAGTGGGAACTAGAAAAGGGCGCAAACGTGGTCGAACGGTGATTTGGACTGACACACCCAACAAAGAACAATTGGAAGAGTAATACAGAAAAAAACAAGAAAAGGAAGGTACTAAAAGAAATATTTGCAAGACCAAAGCAACAACTAAGCGCAAGTCATTGAAACAGGCTGCCCACAGGATTTCACCATGTAGTTCTGAGGATGAAGCAGACACTTAATGTCTAGTATGTGGAGAACCGTACTTCAATTCACGTTCAAGAGAAATATGGATCCAATGTACTAGGTGCCGGTACTGGCATGCACTGACAACAATCCGTTTTTTGTATGTCAGAATTGCGATTCTAAAGATGATGATTTGTGAACTTGTGAAGCATGTCACAATTAACCCCAGCAATGTCACAAGCAACCCCAAGTTGGGGTTAGTTGTGACAGTTGAACCTACTTACATTATTCATTAATAGCGTTGTTTATATTACTCTTAAGTTTAATGTTTTTGTGTTTTTATCTTTGAGAAATATCATAAAATAAATGGTAATTAAAGAAAAACATGTAACTTAATTTACAAAAAGTAGAAAAAACAATTAACAAAAACTGGCACAACCAACCCCGGTCTCCCCTACTATGACGAGATTAACCAATCCTTATGGATCATAACACTGGGAAACTAAAGATAGCAGTTTACTTTTGGTAAGAGGTTCTACGAAAAGGTAGTTTGGAGTGGAAATTTGTAAAGAGTCTAAAAGTGAATTCCACTTTAAACCTAATAATTTTTGGGGATTTTTATCGAGATTTGAGTCTTTTTCATCCGACTAAGTTGACAGAAAAGAAGCTTGAAAATTAGGAAGGTTGGAACGAAATTTATGCAAATGAAATCCTGTTTGAGATAGAATATTTGTAAGGGTGATTTGTAACTGATATAGTTCCTCTTCCGAATTTGCTCCTGTGAGAATATCATTCACATATGTGTGGGACAATAAATTTTTTTTCTCGGATACCGTATGTCATGGGTAACCAAAAGTTATCATTTCAGTGTAGTATTTATGATACAAAATATGGGCTTTCTGAGATGATATCTTCAGGTGCCTACTTAAGGTTAAAATTGGGAAGATCATGAAAAAAATCATAAAATCCAAATGAGTGATTTATATGGTCTTTCATCCCTATATAGCTTTGCTGATCAAAAATAGAGACTAATAAGCTCAAAAATTCATCAAAAAGTATTTAACTGAGCTCAGCGATCCAAATCCACAAGCAACGTCGAGCAGCTATCTCCAATATTTCGTAAACCCCGGCAACCGCGCCACCGCCGCGCCGCAAGTCTGCCATTCCTGTTTCGACAAGATCGGACAAGATTAGTTGTTTTTACGCAGTCGACGCGTTAATATCGTATTGACTTCTGCTTAATTTTTTTAGTGAGGTTTAGTTGTTCGTTTGTGTGAAAAAATGCCGAATACATTGAATGTGAGGTGTTTGGAACACCAACAGAACCTAAATGCAACATTTTTCCGACTTACGGCGAAGTTATGAGAGCGTATTTGTGGCACAGACAAATAGTTAAAAACGATAATAATGGCAAAGACCCGAGTGTAAGTGAAGTCTCTAAAAAAGTTATATCTGCATTGAAAAACATTTGGGAAAATGCTTCTGTACAAGTAGTGAATGAGCAAGAGATTTCTCGATTGATTAAGGACTATGTCGGAAAATTTCGGAATTTAAAAAAAAACCTTGGATCCGTGCATAATAAAAAGTGTTTAGAGAAGTTGAAAAAATTCAAAGAATCAAGTGAAAAACTTTTTGATATATCGACGTGCGACTGTAAAGATTTTGACTCCTGCAAATGCAAAATTAAAGTGCTTAAAACTGAACAAGAATTTTTAAAAGACTAAAGAACAGAAAGAAGAATGTTAATTGGAAACGTTGACGTTAAATCGACAAAGATTTTAGAAAAACGTATGCAAAGAAATATCAAATCGATAAATCAGCTAGGGGACCGAAGCGATCCAGAGAAATTGGAGCTTGTAGGAAAAGTTATTGTTCTAGATGCAACTTCCTCGCAGGTAGAAGAAAATATGTCTCTGTCTGAAAGTTCGTCAACAAGCGAGATTGATTTTCAAATAGATGGTCCATCAACTTCAAAAGCAAGACAAACAGACCTTCGAGGAGTGGATTTTAGAAATTTGGCAGAGGCTTGCAATCGAACTGGAGTTTCCGATAGATGTGCTTCCTTTTTGGCGAATGCCGTCTTGCAAGATCTCGACGTTGTCAGTAGGAACGACCTTTCAAAACTTTTAAACCGTATCAAATTAAGGAGAGAACGAAAGAGACAAAGATTTGAGATAAAAAGGGAATCAACGAGAAAATTGGAAATTACAGGGCTCTACTTTGACGGTAGAAAGAATAGAACACTACTGACAGAGAAAAAAGGAAGCACTTATCATAAACGGTACGTTTTGGAGGAACAAATTGTTCTTATTGCAGAACCTGGATCTATTTATCTCGGGCGTGTAACTCCTAATTCCGGCAATGCTAAAGACATAACATCAAGTATTATGAATTTTTTAAGAGGTAACCTGGGACCTGTTTACGAAATTTCTGCTGTTGGTTGCGACGGAACTATCGTGAATGCAGGCTTCAAGAACGGAGTCGTTAAGCAATTAGAAGAAGCTATTGGACACTCGTTACAATGGCTGATTTGCATGTTAATGAACTTCCACTTCGCCATTTGATTGAGAAAATATATGGTAAAACTAACGACCCGAAAGGATTCTCAGGCCCGATTGGAAAGCTTCTTCCAACATGTCAGAACCTTCCAGTAGTAAAGTTCGAAAAAATTAATGTCGAACTACCAGAATTCGACCTAAATGATGCCAGTACCGATCAAGTTTACTTATATGAAATGTGTTCTGCAATCGCAAAGGGTGATGTACCCCCAAATTTGTCAAAGCGTGATCCGGAAAAAATGGTACATGCAAGATGGCTGACAACGGCAAATAGGATCTTGAGACTTTATGTAGCTTCTGAACAGCCTTTAAACGAATTGAAAACAATAACGGAATTTATATTGAAAGTTTATGCTCCTGTTTGGTTTGATATTAAAGTAAGATCATCGTGTACTGGTGGCTCCAGGCATTTATTCTCTCTGATAAGAAGATCGAGATATCTACCGACTGCAGTTAAAGATGCGATTGATCCTAGGGAATGTATTTTTTGCTCATCCAGAAAATATTGTATTGTCAATGCTTACAGATGACCGAAAGCCTATGAGAACTTGCGCTGAGAAGAATTCTGAAATGCAGGGTAAATGGTCTTCAAAATAGAAACATTAGACAATTTAAAGTCCCCAAACTGAATTTTGATGCTCTAGACTACACGGAATTGATAAACTGGTAGCAGTTAGTGTAACTGAACCACCACTTACAAGAAAAGTATCAGACGATGTCTTGCAAAAAATGATTGTGAGAGTTCCTGACAACATTGAAATTTCAAAATACCCTTGTCATACTTAAGCTGTTAAGAGATGTATCAGAACAGTCACTGAAGCCTCTGGTTTAGTAAACGAAACAGAATCCAGAGATGGCTTGATTCGAACTAGGATTGCCTCCAGAAAAAAAAATCCAAAAACTGAGACAAAACAGCAATTTCTGAAGGCTTTAGATCAATAAATTCGCAATTTTCTTGAAAATATGAAGGTAAGGAGGGAGGTAGGTGCAGCTACCTCCACGTGGTAAGTTCTGGGTTATTTCATTCAATAAAACTGTGTTTTTGATGAGTAAAATAAGCGAAGAGCTGCACATTTCAATCACATTAGTGACAACTTTCTAACACCCAGGCTAATTGAGATCCCGCACTTTATTTTTTTCCCGTATAGATCGCCCCACCCTAATGAGGGTTTCTAAGAGCAATCTCTTTCAACACTCTGCATGCAAGATAGAGTGTACTTTTTTGACCAAACGAAACTGTAGATAGCTCAAGACAGGAAAAATCATCTGAGGGGGAGTCTCTCCAAAGGACATTTTGTAAAAAGTGGAATCTTGGGTTAATATTAACTTGCCTATACATCTTTTCTATGTCTGCATAAATACTAGCCTAAAGGTTCTGAATCGGTTAAGAATACCAAACAGTTCTGTTTAAACTCGAGGACCTATGAAATATCATTAAGGGAAAGCGAACTACAGGATTTGCAAGAGAAATCAAATACAATTCAAATTTTTGTAGTAAGACTTTGTTCCCGAACCACACAGAAATGAGACATAAAATATTTGTTTTCTTGAATAGACTTAGTGAGTGATAGTGGAACAAGTTTTCCATGCCATAAATCGATATATTCATTTAGAATCTTTTCATATTCGTCTTTGAGAGAAGCATTATTTTCAAATTTTCCTTCTAGAGAGAGAAAACCGTTTTTTACCGCAACAAACGAATCTCCCAAGTTCTTATAAGCTTGAGATTGTACGAGGCGTAAATCTACCTGAAACCTTCCGATAGGAAGTATTAAGGTAGTGTCGTGAAAAATACTTTCAGCAAATTTATTTTGTTCTTTGTTGCAAGAGGAACCATTTTCCTGTTCTAAAAATCTTTCCAAGAGTGTGTCGAGATTTTCTTCTTCAGAGAAATTGGCAATATGGAATGAATGAACAGTGGGAGATTTCGAAATTAGATATTCTCGAGGTACTGCCCCAAATAATATCCACCCTAGTTGAGTTTGAATTAGTGTTGAAACTAGGTTGAGTTGTTCGTTGACTGTTAGTCTGATCGCTTATAGAAAATCTCATATATCTTTTTTTTTTCTGGAAACCTTTTTGCCCCACTGTTGACTTCAGATTTTCTCGTTTAAATTTTACGTTTTTCCACGTTCCCTAGTCATCGACTTCTATCTCGAAATAACTTTCCACCACTTTTGTCAGTAACTTTAACACGTTTTTATTTGTATGTCTTAGACTAATAGAAAGCAATCTATATAACCGCATTCGACAAAGTCTAAGCAAGACTCTTAATTAAACATTAAATATTAGAAAACTATTTGTAATCAAATTATTTTGTTAAGTAGCGCTACCTTTTTTAAAAAATGGTCAATTTGCAACTTCAATGCCCTGTAAATTTCTATACCCGGCTGCCGACCATCATCCTTTGCGTTAAGGGTTGCTGATGGGTTCGAAAAGTACTATATCGATGTTGTTTTTATACACGCATCGCTTTTATAGTCAAACTATATACCGTTGGAAAAGTCGCAAAATTTCCAACAAGAAAATACCCGGCTACCGCGGTTTTGTGCGCGCGCAATATTCGGTCAAGTTTGAAATTCGCGTTTTAGAAAAGGCACAGTTTAAAGAATATATATTATATTCTTTAAACTATGGAAAAGGATAAGGAGTTTGGGAGTGTGCGTATAGCTGACGTTTGACATCCTTTATTGCCTCAAGTTGTAACTTGCACATTTCTTCCTTTGCCGTGATATTAATAAATTGTTATAGCGATGGCCAGGGACTTTATTCTCGGCTATCGTTTTCTAAAAAACGTATACGCTTTAGCAACATGCGAGCTATTCACTTTCTTGACATTCGTTTTAAAAGTGTGTACGTTTCTAAAACGGGTGTTTTACAGCCAGCGGATTTTTCACACGTTTTAAATAAAACGTGCATGTTTTTAAGGATTTAGCTAATGTCACTTTTAGGATGATTAATAATATTGATTGATTTTAACAAATTCTAGGTAAACTAGTTTTTATTAATACCTGTGAAAGTATCTAATTTCTTACAAATATGGTTTGTAGTACTAAAAAAGTCTATTAACTGAGAATTTTTTCTCAATTATTATTATTAATTGTTCATTTAGAAAACTTGGAAGATAAGAATCCTCACAGAGTCAGACACGCAGATGCAGATATCATTTTTTGAATTTAATGGATATTGAATGAATATTTTTTTATATCTTACTGTGAAAGAATCTAATTATTAATTCATGTAAACTTTATTTTAAGATATTAATTTGCTTGCGGTTTCTTGCAAGTGGTAGTTCAAAGCTCTTCTGTATCACACGTTGTGTCCAGAAATTTTAACAATTTAGTAAATAGGCACAAAATATTAAAAAACTGAAAAAGATAAAATTTAAATTAATTTGGTACCTTAAAAACTAGGTTTTTTTATGACGTACGATTTTCCTAGAATTTTAGGTTGTATTAACTGCATCCGTATAACTATTTTTCCGCAAAAAACATAACGATTCAGTTTTTCCTGAACTTTTATTTATTATAAGATTATAAAAATCATTATTAGATAAATTTACAATTGGTTTGTTGTAATTAACTTACATATGCTGCATTTGAATATCTATATCGGATGCATCTGAGATGTGAATTTTTTATCACGTGATAGAGCATTAGATTTAAATGCAGATGTAATAAACAAACGCTCTAGACCAGTGGTCGCCAGCCTGTCGATCGCGAGCTACCGATAGCTCGCGGAGGCAATTCTGGTAGCTTTCACAACGATTTTAATTTAAAAAATACAAACTGCAAAAATCAGAAAAGCTTCCTAAAATTCCACAAAAAAATCTAATTGTCATAATATTAAACATAAACAGCGGCAACGTTGCGGTGAGCAATCTGCCGCTGACGCCATCAAGCTAGAATCGGCTAGAACCGACCAGCTGAACCAGCGCGTTAGTGTTCGAGAACGATCAGGATTGCTTTGAACGGGATAAATACGCACGGCGCGGCGACATTGCGCTTAGTTTAAAACTGAAGTTAGTAGAGAACAACAAAAAATAATATTATGGCAAGTTGTAAGAAGGTAAAGACATACCACTTTCATTCGGAATGGGAAGAACAATAATTTTTTACAGAAGTTAAAGATAAAAATGTGTATTTGTTATGTAATACTTCGGTCTCCGTTGCTAAAAAAGGAAATATTGAGAGACATCATAAAACTGTACATTCTAATTTTGAAAAATCATTCCCACTACATTCTGCCGCCAGAAAGGAGAAACTGAGACAGTTAAAAAAGCAGTTAATTGGACAACAATCAATATTTTTAAGAACAGTCGACAAAAATAAGGCTGCAACTGAAGCATCGTACCGTGTGTCCCAGATAATTGCACAAAAAAAGAAACCTTATGAAGACGGGGAAATGATAAAACAGAAGCTGCTGATTCGTTATTTGCCAACTTTAGAAATACAGACGAGATAGTTTCAGCTATAAAATCTATGCAACTTTCTGCTAATACAGTGATGAGACGTGTAGAAGTAATGAGCAATGATATTTTTTTACAGTTAAGAACTGACTTAGATAAATCTGTTTATTTTTCACTTCAACTGGATGAATCAACAGATGTCGTCGACACTGCCCAGATGGCCGTGTTCGTTAGGATGGTTTTTAGCGATTTTACGATTAAAGAAGATCTTTTGAAGTTTATTCCACTGAAAGGACACACTACTGGACAGGAGTTGTTTTCTCATTTAAAAAATATTATTTCTTCCGAGAAAATTCCAATATCGAAAATGGTAGGCTTGACAACCGATGGCGCTCCAGCTATGGTGGGTTGTGATAAGGGTCTGGTGGCGTTATGTCGTAAAGATGAAACTTTTCCGCAATTTCTCTGTTACCACTGCATTATCCATCAGCAAGCATTATGTATAAATTTCCTGAAACTAAACAACGTTAAGAAACTGGTGGTAAAAAGTGTGAACAAGATTAGAGCTCAAGCGTTACAAAGAAGATTATTCAAAACCTTGGCCGATGAAGTTGACTGTCAATACGGGGACCTACTCCTTCACTTTGAAGTCCGATGGTTAAGTAGAGGACGGGTGCTGAAACGTTTTAATGATGTCCTATCTGGCATAGTTCAATTATTCAAACAACGCGATGAACCGACTCCGGAACTAGAAAATTCAATCTGGCTTAGAGATTTTGGTTTTCTCGTGGACATTACAGAGAAATTAAACTAACTTAATTTGCAGCTTCAGGGGAGAGACAAAGAACTAGCGGAAATGATTTCTGATAAAAAAGCATTTATCAAAAAGCTGGAGTTTTGGGAACAAAACTTAATTAACAGCGATGCCAAGCATTTTCCTATTTTTTCAGAAAAAATATCTCAAAATCCATTAGAACCCTATGACAGCAAATATCATGCAGAAATAGTTTCTGTCCTGAAGAATAACTTCAAAAATCGTTTAAAGGATTTCAACGAAATGGCTTTAGTAGCGCAGTTTGTTGTTTCACCCTTTATGGAAATTGATATGCAACAGTTTGCAAC